CCCCCCCCATCTCTTCCTTTTAGCTTGTAAAAGTGTATGGTCTCACTTGTTTGGGAAGAACCACACCCACACCTTCATTGGATAGTCACTATTTCAGTCATTTAACCATCTTTTATTGACCCTTTACCCGTTATGTTCCCAGGCTTTGGACAGAGAGAGAAAAGAAGAAAGTTTCTTCTTCCAAGGACCTCGTGGTCTCTGGAGAGGTGGATAAAGATCATTATAATCTTGTATAAATCCTGGGATAGAGATACTTGTATTCTATGGGAGCAGGATCTAGTTTAATTTAGGAAATGGAAGATAAGAAGAATGGATTGACTAGGCTTTCTGGAGAGGGAGGTGTTTGGGCTGAGTCTTGAAGAAAAAGTAGAAGCCAGCTAGGCAGTATTAGAAGGAAAAGACATTCCAGAAACGAATGTTCTTTATCCAAGTACTGTGTTTTTCAGATAACATGTACCTGGCATGGTGTTAAGTAGCATCTGAAGTATTAGTTGTGTGGTTACTATCCTCAATGTGGAGGTGGAGGAAGAGAGAGTGAGGGTAGAAAGCTTAAGCATATGATGCAGTTAAACATATGAAACAGCATGGTAAATACCAAATTGAGGTTATAGTTGCTCCAGGAATTTAGAAAAGAATTAATAAAAACTAAAGTACTTGTAGTTTAATAGGAGAAAGGAAACCACTGAAAGTCTTTGGGCATGATGACATGAAAACAGTGCTCAGAGATTTCTCTTAGATGGTATGCTTGGACTCTGGAGGTGATTAGCAGAGAGGGGTGGTAAGAAATTAGAGTCTAGGAGGCCAGCTAGGAAGCTCTTGGAATGAGGTGAGGTAATGAGGGCCTGACATTTCTTAACCAGACTTCCATAACCAGATTCTTCAGAGCCTCCCGTGCTGTTGTTCTGTTATACAAGTGGACTTCTGTCATCACCATTCCATTAAAAGGTTTCTTTCTAAAGTTACTGATGATCTGGCCAAATTTAATGGTCATTTTTTTTGTGTGCTTTAGCGTTTAATGGAGGACCATGGCCACAGCCAGATGATGCATCAGCAATGGAAGCAGTTTTTACCTTACTGCTAAGAATATATAAAATTTAATAAATTGCAAACAGAAGCCGCACTTTTTCAGAGTTTAAATTTGAGGGGCACCTGGGTAACTCGGTTGAGCATCCCAACTTCGGCTCTGGTCATGATCTTGCAGTTTGTGAGTTTGAGCCCCACATCGGGCTTGCTGCTCTCAGATCTTCTGTCCCTTTCTCTCTCTGTCCCTCCCCCACTCATGCTTTCTCTCTCAAGAATAAACGACATTATAATTTTTTTTTTAGTTTAAGATATTTTATAGTGTACTTCACGTTTGATTTAGCAGAACCATATGAAGATAAGTACAACAATGGAAAGATTCTTACTCATGGTGTTTTTGATGACTAGGAACCATTTTCTTTCTAGTTTGTTTAGGTCTTAACTTTCTTCAAATCTTAGCCCAAGTTCTTTCTTCTCTACCTCTGAAGGCTGTGGTCCATGTTGTCCTCTCCCTTTTTTGTATTATTAACTGCACCCAGAGCTCAGCCTTGCTTTCTTTTTCAATTCTTCCTTATGTTTGACCTTCCTAATTGGACTACAGTTTTCCAGAAATTTTATCATACTTCGTGTGTGTGTGTGTACACAAAATTTTACTCTAACGGTCTTGTACATGTGTAATTATAAATTCTTGTTAACTGTTATAACATGTATTAAGTACCTACTGATTACATGTTTATATTACCGAGACTCAAACTTTCAGTGGCACTGGGGGAAGGAAGCAGAAATTAAAGATGGTTCTGAATGGGGTATCTGCAATATCAGTTATATTCCAATTTGGAATGTACATTTATAGTAACTTTGAATATATATGTGACTGGCTTCTTTGGGAATTTGAACAAAATAAAGCTACTCAGTGGAGCCTTAATTGAGGCAGATAGGATGACAGCATGGCATAATAATTGCCAGTATTTATCAATGAAATGTGAATAATAATAACAGCAGCAACTACTATTAGCATCATCACTACCACCACCAGTAGCTAACATTTATTGAATACTTACTGTTTGCCAGTCACTGTTCTCAGTACTTTACATCAGGTGAGGTAGGTACTGTTACGCTCACTTTACAGATGAGGTATGGTAGGAAAGCTACTGGATTGAAATGAGGAGACCTGGGCTCTGGTTTCAGTTCTACTGTTAACTACCTTTGTGAATGGGGGCAAGTCTTTAACTTGAGATCTAGGGTACTTTGCCCACTCATTTGACAATCTGTGATGTTTGAGTTATCTTGTCTTATTCCATAAGTTCCCATAACCTATTTCATGCTGGGAAAAAAGCATTTCATATAATGCTGAGAGTATAGAGCAGGATGGTAAGGTTTTTGTTTTTGTTTTACATCTCTGAAGGTGCTGTGTAGAGGAATTTAAGGTTTAGATATCAGAGGAATGCGTAGAGTAGAGGTGGAGGGAATTTGAGGAAATGAAAAAGGTAAAACGATGGTTCAAAATCTCTGAAGAGCAAGGTAATAGGACTCTACTACAATGCAGATAGAATCCTCATGGCTGTTTTTTGAGTTATAATTGTTGTTGCCTAATCTGGTTTACTTTATAGTGCATTGCCTTGCCAGATAATCCTAGAGTAATATTATTAACTAACACATGATGGATGTTTCTTCTGTGTAAATGCTACCACATTTAATTCTCAAAGTAGTATTTTAACTGTAGGAACTATTATTTCATTTTACCAAAGAGAAAGCTGGAGTTTAGAGATATTAACATTTTCATTTCCCACAGCTAATAACTAGTGGAATCAGTACTTGAACTCTGATCTGACTTGAGAGGCTATGTTCTTTATCAATTCTGTATTGCTTGTCAGAAGTTCATATCCTAAGCACATATTCCATTTGGGATAAGGGCCTGTATTGGATTTTATTTACCACAAATTGTTTCTTTTGACTGAGGTACTTCAAGTTTCTTGTCTCCCCCCCCCCCCCCATTATTTTGATATCACTTAGAAGTCTTTCATTAATTCTCTATTGTCAGGGTCATTATTCCTGTTTCTTTGATGGTATGGTAGAGAGGTTTGTATTCTCCGTTGAAAGTTAGCAATTCCAGTGTGAAGTGTCAGGCTTTGTTTCTATATTTTTATCTTCAATTCTTGGAGCAGCTTTCTCCCTTCTCCAGAATATGTGTTGACCTGGTAGATTTTTTCTTGTTTCTTTCTTTGGATGATAATGGCCTGCATTTTTTAGCCTTGGAGAGAAACGCATTATAGAATCCGGATCATTGGATGTTTGCATTAGCCTGTCCTGAGCTTTTAATGCTTCTTGCTATCCATTTATATGATTTAATCTCTCCTATCCTACACTCCCAGATCTTTAGTATTCTTAATCTTGTTCCTTGACTTTGTTTTTTGTTTTGTTTTGCTTTTTTTAACTGCCTGGGTACTGCATATTCTCTTTTCTCTTGTTCATCAGTGTCCTTGAATTTGCATTCCTCTTTTCTATCAGCTCCCCCAGCTAGCTTGTCTACTTACTATTCTTGTGTATCCTGCTTGCTTTTCCTACATCCCACCTGCTCAACTCTACCTTCTTTCCTCCTTGGAAATTCCTGTGCCTATTTCTCGGTTACTTCTCTGACCTCTACTTTGGGTATTCTTTTGTTTGTGTGACTTCCCTAAAATTTGTGTAAAAGAAATGCCAGATGTACAATCTTAAGTTTTTAAAGGGCCTGTGGTGTTGGTGAGTAAAGAGCTGGACTGCAGAGTTATTTTTCATACTGTGATCCTGTTGCCCTATTTAAAGTGACAGTCTTTTAGAAACATTGGCATTGGGATCACTTTGTGTGTATGTATTGTTCTGTATTTTAAACATTTTAAAACCAAATTGGTTGTGTTTTGGAGAGGAAAAAATTAAGAGAAAAGATTGGAAATATTGATCCCTTAAATATTTGGTTTGGTCATTAACATACTCAATCTTTTTCCTCCAGATTTAACTCAGGCTTTCCCTCACTTTGGAACTCCTAGATTTGTGAATATTGGATATTTTGAGAAGCAGGGGTTCTTTCCTTGATATTGACTAAGGAGTCTATTTACCTTCAGGATGACATCTGAACTGGAGAGCAGCCTAACATCTATGGACTGGTTACCACAGCTCACCATGAGAGCAGCCATCCAAAAATCTGATGCTACACAAAATGCACATGGAACAGGAATTTCCAAGAAGAATGCCCTCCTTGACCCAAATACAACACTGGACCAGGAAGAAGTCCAACAGCACAAAGATGGGAAACCTCCATACAGTTATGCCAGCCTCATTACATTTGCAATTAATAGTTCACCCAAAAAGAAAATGACTCTAAGTGAGATTTACCAGTGGATTTGTGATAACTTCCCATATTATAGAGAGGCTGGCAGTGGTTGGAAGGTAAGGATTTTATTTAAATTATTATTTTTATGCTGTGAACAGTAACAATATTGGCTTCTATTAAAGATAAAGCTTTGTAGAGGCTTATATAATTAAAAAAATTCTGATTAGTAGTCATTTTTAGGATGTCAGAAAGGGAAATTAAATGTTTTTTTATTAAGTGAATAACTTTATTTTTGGTAGAGTATCAATTTGTTAGAGTTTTATTATGTTACAAGACTGACAGCATAAAGTAAGACCAGAGATAATGTAGCATTCACTGGAAAACAATACCTATGATTCAGGTAAGTTGATAGTGAGTTTATGGTTTAAAAAAAAAAAAAGTATTACAACTAGTATTGTTTTCATCATCTGGTTTTTTTTTTTTTTTCTTTTTAACTTTTTATCTTTATGAATCAGTTCTAGCAGTTTTTTGGTAGAATCTTTTGGGTTTTCCATATAGAGTATCATGTCATCTGCGAAGAGTGAAAGTTTGACCTCAACTTTTTATCTTGAAAGAATTTTAAATTTATGGAAGAGTTACATAAATAGTAGAAAGGGTTCCCATGTGTTCTTCATTCACTTGCTCTATGTTAATAACCTATATAAACATAGTACAGTGATAAAAGCTGAGAAATTAATGTTAGTACAATACTTTTGACTAAATAGTACTGTTAACTTCCAAGGCTTCATTCAGATCAGTTTCTCTCCTAATGTCCATTTATATTACAGGATTCAATTCAGGATCTAATCCAGGATCCTGCATTATGTTTAGTTGTCATGTCTTCTTAGTCTCCTCTAATCTGTAACAGTTCTTTAGACTTGTCTTTTATGACCTTGATACTTTTGAAGTGTCCTTGTCAGGTATTTTGTGGAAATGTTTGGTAGAATGGTATTGGATGGTATGTTTTATAGTATGGATATGTCTGATGTTTTCTCATGATTAGATTGAGGTAATGCATTTTGGGGAAGGATAATGCAGAGATGATGTGCCCTTCTCTGTATGTCATATCAAGAGGTACTTGCTGTTAGTATGTCTGTCTTATAACAAGGTAATGTTTACCTTGGTTCTTTGGTAAAGGTGATGTCTTCCAGGTTTCTGCATTAAATTACTATTTATCACTTTGTAAGTTATAAAATGTTTTGGGGAGCTACTTAGAGGGCATACAAGTAAGTACCCTGTTTCTTAGGCTTTTGCTAATTTTAACATTCATTGGTAGATCATAACTATAGCAGTATTTACTATTTTCTACTAGTGATTTTTTTTCTTTTCGTTCATTCCTTCTCTATATTAATTGGGATTCTTCTTCTTTTTTTAATTTTTAAAAAAAATTTTTAACATGTATTCATTTTTGAAAAACAGAGATAGTGTGAATGGGGAAGGGACAGAGAGAGAGGGAGGCACAGAATTTGAAGCACGCTCTAGGCTCCAAGCTGTCAGCACAGAGCCCGATGCAGGGCTCGAACTTACGGACCACAAGATCATGACCTGAGCCAAAGTTGGCTGCTTAACTGACTGAGCCACCCAGGCTCTCCTTTTTAAAATTTTTTTAATGCTTGTTTATTTTTTGAGAGAGAGACACAGAGTGTGAGTGGGGGGAGGGGCAGAGAGAGAGAGGGAGACACCGAATCCGAAGCAGGCTCCAGGCTCCGAGCTGTCAGCACAGAGCCTGATGCAGGGCTCGAGCTAACAAGCTGTGAGATCATGACCCGAGCCGAAGTCAGATGCCCAACCGACTGAGCCACCCAGACGCCCCTAATTGGGACTCTTCTGTATGGAAGATTTGTTCTTTATTCCCCTTTTATTTACTTAATCATTTATTTGCATAGTGTGCACTCATGGGCATTTATTCTTTGTGCTGTCATTATTTGTTATTCAAATTGTTGCAGCTTTGGCCATCAGGGGTCTTGCAAGTTGGCTCCTGTGCCCTTTTGACATGGCCCTATTATTTTGTTTAGCACACTTAACTTCCTGGCACCACAAGATGTTCCAGGCTCATCTTGTATCATTCCTGTTTAGCCCTAAAATTAACCAGTTCTTTAAGAAGCCCTGGTTCCTCATCTGAGCTTTTTGATGGACCGTCACGTTGGTTTCCTACCTAATTTATGTTCTGCAACAAATAATTCAACTTATTTTTGTGCCTGCACACGTTATGTTTATTTTCCTATATGGGAATTACCCAGTCGTGTGTTGTGTATGTGTGTATGTGCATGTGGAAAAAAGGGAGTTTATAGAGCTTTAGATGGTAGTTACTCTTTTTTTTTCTTAAGCCTTCCTGTCTCAACACTTTGTCTATTTTGTTTGACTAGATTTATTAAAGGCATTTACTGATTTATGCATTGTACTGTGTACCATGCTAGACAATCAAGTGTCTCAAGTTCATTCGCATGTATCTTTTTTTTTTTTTTTTTTTTTTTTTTTTTTTTTTTTTTGCCTATTCCAACCTACTAGCTGTCCCTGGAAATAAAAACTGTGATTTTTTTTTTTCTTGCTTTTGTTTGTCTCTTACGTGTCCTTAGACTTTCTCCCTTCTGCCTTTTTTTCTAGTTGGTGTTATCCTATTTGTTCTTTTGGCTCATATGTTACCTCTCTCCTCCCTATAGAACTAATCTCTTGTGTTTCCGTATGCTTGATTAATGACAGTATCATAGATTTAGAGAATTTTGTTTAAAAATCTTGTTTCATTAGTTTTTATTTCTGTACTCAAGTACCTAAATGATATCTTCTTTTATTATTTTCTGTGTGTCAGGCACTACATGCCAAAGTGCCTTCTTACATCTTTGTCTTTTTAAGTCACACCACAGTATTAGGAAATAAGTACCGTTACTGTCCAAATTTGAAAAGTAAGGCAACTAAGGCTTAGAGAAGAAGTAACTTTATAGAGTTTCTCAGCTATAGAAGAGAGTAGCCAATATTTGGTACCAGACTTGGTAGATTTGGAGATACCAAATCTCATGCCTTAACCATTGTGCAGGGCCTATAATTTTGCAAACAATGTATAAATGTTTATTGAATTTAATTTGCCAGGATGAACTGTCTCTTAACTGGCTGACTCGGTATGAGAAGTGATTGTAAATCGTATAATTTGAATAAGAGTCTATTCTTACAGAATATTTCAGTGGAGGAAATACATAATAAAATTTGATCCATGAATCAAAAAGAAAAAAGTCATTCTAACCAAGTAGTAGTGATCTATCTAAGCTGTGTTTTCTGCCTTTACTACTAGGCACTACTATACAGTAGAGTCCTTTTATCAAGATTGAGGATGAGGGAAGGCTAGCAGATTTTGATAAACTTGTTTAGCATTGGAAAAACACAGTAGGTAGGGAGTAGAAATGCCCCAAATTTGAATAAGTGCCTTAGAAAGCCCACCAGAGATTCATGGGTCTATATCACTGGTTGTAAACTTATATACTTGCAGGGACCAGAGAGGTGACATAAATGAGCAAAGCAAAAAAGATGCCTGAGGAGTGCATGTGTGATGTGGAGCAGGCACTTGTGGTTTTTAGGGCATATGTCAGATCTTAACAATTTTTTCCCAGAAATCTGGATTTTGTGTGCAGTTTCCCAGTTTCTAAATGTTGTTAATTCTCGTTTTCTTAAATACTGTGCAGGCCAAACATGAGTCTGTTGAGTGAGTTCAGTTTATGGACTACAAATTTCCAATCACTATTCTAGATCATATCCTCTTGTTTCCAGCTAATTTAGTCTTTCATTCATTAAATTTGGAAAGGATTTATTTACATACTCTTATGAGCAGTATGTTGGGCTTTGGCAGTACTAAGAAACATAGCACAGGGCCCTTAAGGAAGCTTATAATCTTTAATGGATAAGGGGGATATATATATATAAACAAGGAATTATGATGGTATGTAAACAGCTCTGTAATAGAGAGAGTGCCGTGCTATGATGAATTGACTAATTGGGCATACCTACTGTGTGTAAGCTATAATAATAACTATTGTATATGTGACTTAGCAAAAGGGTGTTAAATGAGGGGTGAAACTAATAAATGCTGTGAAAATTTAGAAGAACTTATAGGAAGTGTGATGAGGTTCTAAAGTGAGTGGCAAAAAGACTAAGTAAGTGTTATGAGAATACAGGAAGGGTGAATCAGTAGAAAAGTATTGAGGAAGTGTAATTGAGCTCTGTTTTGAAGAAGAGTAAGATTTAGGTTTTTTTGTTTGTTTTTTTAAATAAAAAACACTCTTAGGAAACAGTTGGTTACAGGGGTTCTTGGGAGGGACCAATAAGAATTGGGATGGAGCCAGAATGCAGAGATTCCATGAATATATGAATGCCAAGCTGAAGAGCTTAGTCCAAATTTGGTAGTGAATAGTACATGGAGATCAGTTACATACTGCATTTACTTGTCTGACCTCAGCTTCAACTAAAGTGTAAGTCCACCTGAGAGTGCCAGATCCAGTCTGCTGAATTCCATGCTGCTGGCCAGCCCAAGTCATATTCTGAAACTGGTTTGGAGGTAACTGTTACAGTTTCAACTGGAAGATAACGATTTAGGTATAACGAGGAAAGAAGGGGGAACGGGAGAAATGGGAAGGTGGAGGATGATGTTGCTCTTAGAACTAAAGAGATTATCTGTTCTAGTCTCTTGCTTTAGGCAGACCTTTAATACTTCCAGAGATTGCCAGCTCATGATTATTCTTTAATTTTTTTATTTTTTAAAGTTATTTATTTATTTATTTTGAGAGAGAAGACATGAGCAGGGAGGGACAGAGACAGAGAGAGAGAGAGAGAGAGAGGGAGAGAGAAAGAATCTCAAGCAGGCTCTGCATTGCCAGCGTAGAGCCTGACGCGGGGCTCAAACTCATGAACCATGAGGTCATAACCTGAGCCCAAGTCAGATGCTTAACAGACTGAGCCATCCAGGCATCCCTCATGATTATTCTTTTAAAAAAGTCTTTTCCACCTAGCTTTAGGTGCTTAGAACTTGTCATGATTGCTTCTAATTTTATTTTTGTAAACACAGATATAGTGTAAGTAAACATTGCAAATGGAG